TTGCTCAAACATAAAGCAAAACAGAGACCAGGAAAGGAGAGAATATATGAAAAGGAGATAAAATAAGACAGGAAGGAGGAAAATGAAGTTGGAGAGAATAAAAAATAGAGATGGAAGTAGAGACAGTGAATAAAGAAACATAAACAGAGGGAGCAGGAGGAAAGCAAGAGAAGATGCTCACAAAACTGATGAGAACTAATCTTGTTTTTAAATATTTTACTGCTAATAATACAATAAATGGTAATAATCCCTTGCTTATTACATGCTAAATTCCCCCCTGAGGTGCACATACACAAATCTCATTGACTTCAGTAGGACTGTATGTAACACATTGGCAGTGTTTGTGTTGCATGCCCCTTTAAGGGATGTCTATACTGCATTTTAAACCCGGGTCTGTGGGACCCAGGTTTGTGTCTCCAAGCCTGTACTTGAGCATCCACACTGCATATAAACCTGGGCTTACACTTACTGGACCCGGGTCTCACAGAAATGCTAACATGTTCATACTGCACCACATACATCTTCTGATTCAGGTCTGCAGCCTGAGACATGGCTTGGACCAGAATCACAGCAGGACTCGGGCTCTGACCCATCCTCTTAGCAGGGTCCTAGTGCTTGGGACCTGAGTGCTTGCTGACCCAAGTCAGACTGATGTGCATGGATGGAAAGGGGGCTTAGGCTCAAACCTGAATCAGAGCCAGGGCTTAGTGTGCACTGTAGACATACCCTTCTTAATGGCTGCTCAGCTACTACTAGGAGTTACTACTTTCGGCCAACCAGTAGAGATCTGTGATGCAGAGATAATGGACCCAGGTTTATGCTGCTTACAACACATACTGCTGACAAAACATGCATAAGCATCCGAGGTGGGAATTTGATGCCAATACAAATGCAAGAGCAAATATAGGAATCTTGCAATACAGCTTTGGAACAGAAATATACTGTATAGGAAAAATCATAGCAGAGTGACTGCTTGGCATGGAACTCTAGAATAGCTCTGCTGGCACAGTCAAAGAGCCCAATTCTGTAATGGTTTTACATTGCTGTAAGTAACCCTGCTGAGTTCAACAGAGTTATTCCTCAGTTGCATGTGCAATTGAGAGGAAAATTAGGCCTGTTATGTTTATGATAGTAATATCAAAACTTAACAGCAGTAAAACCACAAAGGACTCAGGAAACCAAATTTCACCTAAGAAGTCACTAAGCAGGACAGATACTTAGGGAAGTAAATTTTATATATTTATATTTCATGAGGCCTGTGATATTTACCAGAGGAAATCATAGGTAACTTCACTGCTTAATGGAGTTACACCTCTAGAAAACAAGTGAGAGATGAGAATTGGGCCCCTATATTATATAGCTTTTCCCTGGCAGATATCCCACAGCTCCATACATGTAATGGAAGGGGGAATACAGAAAGCTTTTGCTGCAGGGATTTGAGCCTTATTGCTTAGTTATATTACTGGAGGCCATATTTTTATTTTACGGACATACCCACTGGAAATGAAGAGGTGTGGGGGTGGGAGAGGCAGGATTTGGCCCAGAAGATGGTGAATAAAAGAATCCTTTTCTCTGTGCCAATTCAGGTTGGAGATTTTCTGAGAGTCTACAATAACAGAGCAGCAGGTTATTATTTAGTACGATTGCTCTTTGTAGAAATACCCAATGAGTAATACTGTAGGTGCTCAGGTGATCATATACTGTACGTAGATCAAGACATAACAGCAATAATTAAAACAAACTTCATCTCACTGAAACTATTACTGTTTCAGTCAGACTACTTCCTGCGGTTTCTGGTAACACTAGAGAGAGGAAATCTAAAAGGATCAGGGAATATTTAGCTAGAGGAAATTTTCTGTGTGTGTGAAAAGTTGAAAAGTAAAACTACCAAAAGTGTTTAAGCATCTTGTGTATCTATTGTTTGCTTTTACTTCCTGACATTCTTGATAGCTATATTAGTTTGTATTAAGTTGAATCTAGCCCCAATCCTATGTCCCTTGCTGAGATCAATGGGAGTTTGACATTGATTGAAATGGGAGCAGGATGGGGCCCTATATGTTAATGAAACTAAGCGTAAAATTCTGTTTTAATTTTTATTATAGTTTAATTCTTTCTTACTGAGGAATGCCATGCCATGAAATTTTACAGTGGACTAATTTTAAAACATACACAGTTGCTACCTCTATGTTTATTCTAAGGGGAGGTGCTCTCTCATATCAAGGATTTGGTAAATAACACCTATTTTACTGTCAAAAGCATTTTTCATATTAAACATATTTCCTTGTCAATGATGATACTAGAAGTAATGAAGATACATGAAGCATAAGCATCTGTCTGCTTAGTACTATATTATATCTGTGAAACACTGTGATCATGAAGTAATTTTTAGAGACACTTAAAACAGGTTGACAATATTTATCTTTGTGAGGTGTTTCTAACCACTCTGAAAGATGAAGTAATGTATTTAACCTTTCTAATTGCCCCTGTTTATTTGTGTGACTTTGCTCTATTTAATTAAAAATGCTCTCTCCAAATAAATTTGCATGGATAATAAAAGTAGTTAAATAACCCTGGATAGTTGCTAAAGCTTTCTGTCTGTATTACAGCAGCCACCTGGTCATCACCACTCACTTAATGTTGCAAAACAGCTTCCATAATAACTCTCTGTTTCCACGTGCTCAGAACTTTCCACAACATTTACATTTTGGGATGAAATTCTCCATGTTTGCCTCTGCCTTCTTTGTAAGTCTGAACAAACTCCTTCCAGCTGTTTTTGGATGTGGAATGAGTGAAGAAAATACCCCTCTGCTGTATAAATAATTTAACTACAGGGCTACCCCGGAAAACAGAGCTGAAGTTTGAAACTTGTCATAGACAAGTTCCCACTAAAGAGTAATGTTTTTTGCTTGGTGTTAGGATAATTGTTTTGGATTTACAAAGATAAAATCCTTAGAAGGGTGTGAGCTGGATGAGATTTTGTTCCAGTATCTGTAGGTGTGTACTTAAAGAGATATGACCACTATATGAGTGCATAGCTAGGCAGTGTGCAGCAATCAATGTTTTAGATCTTGCAAGGGGTCTAAAACTGAACAGGTGTGGAATAAAGACCTTGCCGTTAGAATCTATAAACTGAACACACCACATAAGTGTAGAGCAAGGAACAAACTGTACCTACACACTGCAAAGATGGTCTTCTAAACTGTGCAAGCCAGATTTTCTTTCTCTGTTCCCGACCCTTTTTCCTTAAAAAAAGTAGGAAATTAAATGCAAAATGCCATTGTTAATGAAGTGTTAAGTTTGTGAGATCAAGCATGCAAAAGTCATGACATTTCAAGATTTAAGGCTATTATCAGGATTAGATTGCTCCCAATGCACATATATAGCCCCTTATTAAATGCAGACCTTAAAGTAGTGCTCTTGCTTGTTAATGCATTGTATGTATTTATTGATGTATATCGTAATATGCATGTACACAGTACACAAAGTGGCTGAGTTAACATGGCTTGAGTGCCTGAGTTTGCAAGGGAAAGTTGTGTTCATGCTGTTTTTTGTATGTATTATGTAAGTATTATATTATGTTGTGTATATATGTGTGTGTATATTTATGAATACTGAAGCACATTAAACAATCTGTTTCCCAGCTTTGTGTTGTGGCTGTTAGAATTTAATTCTTGTTGTTTAAGACATTAGGATGATGTGAAATGAAAAAAAGGAAAACGTTCTCCTCCCCTTAAGTCCTCCTCCTCCCCGAAACCAGAAGGATATTGTTAGTTGCTTTAAGGAAAGATATTTTTTTAGCTCCCTGATGTGTCAGCAAAGGGGTCTTTAATCTTTACGGGTAAAAATTAAAGTCAGCCCACTCAATTTGTACACTGAACGTTTAGGTGGCATCTGAAAAAGGGGGAACTACATCTCAGTGACACAGGATCACATTTTCAGTTCTTTTAAAAACTACATAATCCTTCAAAAATTATCGTAAAACGGGCTTTGCTTTTATTACTAAAAAGCCCCAGTCGCCCACGCACCCGATTCCTAGTAAAACCCTGTAAAGGTACGGAATTACAAACAGCAGATCACGCCGAAAACATCTCAGGAAGCACATCTGCTCCGTATGGGGGAAAGGGAATGGGGAAGTGATTTTTCTCTAGAAATCTTCTCAATCTTCACCCGTGGATAGGACAGTTTTCTGAGGGGAGGCTACTTTCCAAAGTGAATTCGATTCTCTGTTAGAAATGCCCCTTTCCCACACTCTCCGGACCCGTCCCCGCCTCTCATCCAGTTCGCTAAATCTCCAGTGGAGACGAACTCTTCAGAGCAGGCGCTGGAGACCCAGATCGGTGCGGACTGTAGTATTTTTGTGTCAACGCGCGAGCCGCACGCTGCTCCCCTTGCACAGGGGCTGCCCGGGAAGGCTGACGCGCATACACACCCGTATACAAACAGACACACAATATCACACACACGGTGCTAGGGTCGTCACACGAGCACAGATGCCTGATGCACAATTACACATTCGCCCCCTACACAAACGCTGATCTAATGGGGGGGGGGGGGGTGTTCAAGCCGTTTAAATGGCTACAGAAAATGACAAAGCCTTTCCTAAAAGGTCCCTTCAGAGAACCAGTTCTGCCCCCTAATTCCACCGGCCCCCCGATCAGTTATTGCCCATCCCCGTTGCAGCAGGATGCCAGCGATCTGGAGTCATGCAGCTGGCTTGGGCACCATTGGCTCATGAGGATGACACGCAGCTGCAGGAGTTAACATCTGGCGGCTAGCCCAAGCGGCTGCAGTCCTGTTATGGAGCGGGTGTGCATGCGAGCCAGCTCCCTTGCTCCTCCTCCTGGTCGGGATGGGGGGAACCTTGCATCACCGCCCAGCGCTAGCTGCGCTCCCCCTTCCTTCGCTCTCTCGGCGAGGCTATTAATAGCATGACATCAGCCCGGGACTCGCAGCCAGAGTAAATACCAGCGCTGCCCACTCGGCTATATAAGGAGGGTGATGCAACCTCTCGCCGAGCCAGAGATTCAGACACACATCGAGAAGCAGCCGCCGCTCTCCAAGCGGCAAACTCGGAACTGCCCGGCAGGGACTGGAGCCCCTCCAGCCAGCGCGCCCGGCAGGGACCCGCGCGGACAGACCGAGCCGTCCTGCTGCTCCCCGGCTCGCGTCTGCTCCGTCCCGCTCTGCTTGTCCCAGGCGCGGCAAGGCGGCGTGAGAAGCGGCGGGGGAAAGGTGAGTGAGTTTGGAAAGGGGCAGGGCGGGGGGACGGGGACTCGCCTCGCCTCGCCTGGCCGGGGAGCGCCCGGACTTGGCTAAGGAACTTGATGGTGGCGAGCTCCGGGGGACCCTCCTCCTGGCCCCGCTCACGCGGGTGGGCTGGGGAGCTCGCGAACCGCAACTGAAAGCAAAAGTGCGCTCGGAAGAGCGAAGTTTTTGACTCCTGCTGGGGCCACGCACAAGAAGCCCCCCGCCCCCCCCCCCCCATTTCTCCTGCTTCGGAGTCTCTGACCCGCGCCCTAGACATCCCCCCGCTTGGACAGTGCAATCGCGGCTCCCCCCGCACAAGTCACCGCCGCTTCGGCTTAACCCGGGGCGCTCAGCCGCGCGTCTGACCCGCCGGGAGCCGGGCGCTCTCACTGGGGCCAGGGGCGCCGCTTCCGGGGGGGACGGACCCTGCGCATCTGGCCCTCCCCCTTCACCCGAGAGACGGGGTTTCTCCCAGCTGAGCGGCCAGGGTCGCTTTACTGCCCGATTCATTCGTTTCTCTTGGGCTGGGGGTAGCGCTCGAGTCCGTAGGGCGGCGCATTGCTCGGCAGTAGGAGCGCGGCTCTGCGGGGCGCCCGGTGCTCGCAAGCTGCTGCCCAAGTTGTTGTGCCTGCGATACAGTCCTTTAGAGAAATAAGTTAGAGCTCAAGGCACCCGCAGACTTCAGTTAATGCGGGTCACACCGCAATGGCGGTGTCTGTTGAGAGCCGGGGCTACATATAAGTGTTGTAGGGTCCCAAACGAAGTTATTTTCCCTTATGTTATTTTGTGGAAATATTGACCTCTTTTGAGTATTTGATTAGCGTACACACAGACGAGAAGTAATATCACCCTGCAAGGTGATGAATAATTAAATAGTGGGGAAAGTCACTAGGAGATAACAGTCATTTTTTTGCCCCTCTACTGATGACTGACATGAACAAGATCAGTTGCTGACCTGTTGCCTAACTGAGCAGGGTTGAGTGACGACGCAACAGAAAAACTGTTACACAGAACGAGTTTCCTGTGTGAAATCGATTTTCTTGGTAGCAACAACAGCAGAGAAGTTCGGCAAATAAGCAGGCAGATACGATCTGGGATATCAGAATCCTAAAGGTCAATTTGAGTGCACAGAGGTTGTGAACTATAATTGCTCATAATGCCGTTTCAGATTAACCTGTATAGCTCACAGGATTTATTGCGTCAGCAGCAGAGGAAAATGAATTCATCTAGGGAAATACAATTAAATCATTCATCTGCAGTTAAGCTAAAGGAAAGCTAGGAGTGAGGGTGACCTGAAGTGTTCACTTTTAATATTAGCATTAAACTGAAGGACACTTTAAATAACATAAAGGCTGAGTTTGGACTTTGGAATAGAGAATGTGCCCTGACACATCAAATATCAGAATGTGAGAGGTGAAAACTAAAAGTTGGGGGAAAATCATTACACAAACTGTGGAATGGGATCTTCATCAGGAAATGTCCTGTTTTTTCTTGATCATAAGCTTCAGATGGAGTGGCTTGCATTTGCGCCAGGGATGAATTGAGCCTCTGTGGTGCTATTCTGTGGGGTGTTCAGCACCTCCAACTCCCAATGACTTCAATGGGAGATGAAGGTGTTCAGCACCTCACCAGATTGGGATCCATGTAGTTGTATGGACTTGTAGTTAAATAGAAAGGTTTAGATGTGATTATTTTCTTGGGCTAATTATAGAACAAGCCAAAGTGTGTTAGGTGCTTTACAAACGAGTAAACCAGGTCCTTGCCCCATATAACTTGCAGCCTAAGATAATTTACAGACAGATGACTGGGAAAAAGGGAGGCAAAACACATTTTTAACTCTTGCTTATACTATTATAATATAGGAAGCTGTATGTTACATCTTGAAGAAAAAATGTTTTTGAACAGAGGAAAATACCAACATTACAATTTTATGTCTATTTATCAAGTATACAAAAGGTATCTATCTAGCACTCTCCGTACCTCTGATATAGTTCTGATTTATTATTATTTGTATTCTCGTAGTGTCTGGAGCGCCAGGCATAGAGCAGGACCCCACTGTGCTAGGTGCTGTACAAACACAGAACAAAAAGACAGTCCCTGTCCCAAACAGTTTACAAAAAACAAGCGGAAACTAGCAGCAAACCCCACCAAAGGAAAACTGACCCAGAACAGTACTCCTACAAACCTACCCACCCACAAACCCCTTCAAGCCCTTCTCTTTCCTAAAGCCTGAGTAAGTAGAGATGCCTTCCAGCATGTTTTGAAGGTCAGCAGATTTGGGCTATTTCAGACCAAAGGGAGCCGCAAGTTCTAAAGTCAAGGGTGCCCATAGAGAACACTCCCCCATCACTCTTACATCAAGGAGACACCAGTAAAAGCAAATAGGGTTATAAAAGGAATTTTAGCAGAGTTTTGTGGATATTTGAAAATAACTCCTCAAATTACTAATGGAAATCCAGCATAGACAATATTTCTCATGATATTTTCCCTGAAAGCTCTGAACATTTTTGGTTTCTTTTGGTGGTAATACTGATTTTAATTAAAAGTTTATTCACATATTTAAAAAAAAAAACAGCCCTATCACCAGTACTGAAAATTTAGGGATAGCTCAGTGGTTTGAGCATTGGCCTGCTAAACCCAGGGTTGTGAGTTCAATCCTCAAGGGGGCCATTTAGGGATCTGGGGAAAAAACAACACTGTTAGGGACACTACTTGGTCCTGCTAATGAAGGCAGGGGACTGCACTTGATGACCTTTCAAGGTCTCTTCCAGTTCTATGAGATAGGTATATCTCTGTATATTACTTGGGGTGGGCTGGAGAAATGGCTTTTTTAATTTAGATCTCTGATTGGAATGAATTAAACAGAATTAGCCATATAGAATTAAGCCATCACCATGAGCTAAAACAACAGTGACAGCTAATGCACATAGCTAAGGCTTCCTCTATCCACATACAATGATGGGTTCAATCCCATTGGGAAATAGAAAGAACCTATGTGAATGTGTTGGTGAAATGCTAAATGCTGTTGTTGGTTTGTCAGCTGGAAATCAGAGGGATGTTTCTAATTTGTTGGAGATGAGTATCCTCTAGCGCTCTGAGATTATAGGATTAATGAGTATCAATACTTAAGATGACTCATGAGCGGGGGCTTCCTGAAGTGAATAAATTTCCCAAGGTCTGTTGGAATAACAAATAGTTCCAGGGAATTTTCCCTTCTTTAATAACTGACGGTGAAATCCTAAACTCACTGAAATCAGTGGGAATTTTCCATTGACCTCAATAGGGCCAGGATTTCATGTGGAGTTTGGGAACTCCTCGGTACTTCTATTTTTATTGAAAACGAGAAAGTGCTTGGAAAGCCTCCAAACCTGGGATTTGGTGACCAGGGCAAGGGAATTCTACATATCGGTAGTTCACTAACTTTAGATTTTTGTATTTACCCTTTACAAATATTTAGCTCTAGCCCAGATTCTGCTCTCAGTTACCGCAGTGTAAATCTAGAGTAAATTTCTGGATAACTGAGCGAAGAATCTGGCCTTTTGTTAGAGTACATAATAATCTTCACCACCACCCAAAGCTGCAAAGTTAAAGCACTGACATAAAGGTGAGTGCACAAATCTAGGCTGACTACACAGAGCCTTCCTTTATGTACGCAGATAGCCCTGAGGCAGTTGTCTACTTAGCTGCTAGGGAGTTAATTGCAACTGATTTTACTATAATTACCATACGAATCAAGAACAGGTAATACTGCAGTAATCCCATTACTACAAGATATACAGTTGACTGCATCCCGTGAGGAAGTAGAAAAAGCAAATATGGTAAAATAATCTGAATTTTATCCAATTTTTTAAAAATAAGGGTCAGATCCTTCACTGGTATCAAGTGGCATAGTTCCATTGAACTTAATACAGCTACATCAAGTTACAGTGATGTTTAATCATTTAAAATACTTAATTTTAAGGGTGTGCAAGGGCACTTTCAGATTTCACAAGAGCAAAAGAATAAAATATACTTCCAATTTTGCATTATTCCTTCCCTCCAATTCTACCTCTGCCTTGATACCTCTGAGCATATATAGCTCTTTACGCTTGAGCCAACTTTTATTACAAACTGCTTTGCAGGAATTTATCTTTTGATTTGAACAATTATGGGTCAGATTCTAATCTTGCTCAGTCACACCCATGTAAATCTAGGGATCCAGTGGAGTTACTTTGGATTTACACAGGTGTAACTGAGGCCAGGATCTGGCCCATTCCTTCCAAGCTCGAATATAGAAGTATAGCTTTTAGTATGAGAGAATCATTTATTTTGTGTCTTTTTACAATTTTAAAATTTAAAACCTCTTCAATTGCCATTTTTTCCTTCTATGGGTCCTTCTCCTTTCCTCCCTCCCACCCCAATACTATCCTCACACACCCTGCCATGCTTGAAGGATTCACAATGCCAGTTTACTTTGCAGAAAAATCCTGAAAATGGACTTGCATAATAAGATAGAATCTAAAAAACATACATCCATTTAAAAATTGACTAAATATAGATGCATTCACTTAGGATCTGAGCCTGCATTGCTTGATTTCAATGGAAGTTTGGATTGCTCAAGGAATACATGATCAGTCCTTATAAAGTAGACAGTAACCGTTCTCTTGCAACCATTATGAGCTACAGTGTCAACTCGCACACCTTTCCATGAGACTCTAAAATCTATAAATGTGTGTGTATACATATATGTACACATACATAAATAGTGTAAGAATGTCATCTCAACCTATGCAAAAAATATACAGGGATTGGTTCATAGTTATGAAAATGCAGCTCTCTTCTGTCAAATCTGTTTGGTTTGTTAAGATTATTGAAAGACTATTCAATGTTTTATTTTGTTCCTTTTCAGCAAAATGATGCTCCAAAACCCAGGCCAGGTATCTGCATCAGAAGTCAGCGCCTCCGCAATTGTTCCCTGTTTGTCTCCTACAGCGTCACTGGGGTTTGAGGATTTCACAAATCTAACCCCACTGGTGAAGGAGGAATTGAGATTTGCCATCCAAAATAAGTGCCTATCCCACAGGATGTCTTCCACATTGGATACAGTGACCGTGTTGGAAAGACCTGTTGAAATGTCTGTTCTGAAAGCAGAGGTATCATTCCTTCGATAATATTTCCGTTTGATTGATTAGTGTTCTGATTTAATGTACCACAAAATATTCCAAAGACCAAGAATGATATAATCTCAAACACAGGCAGTCCTCAGGGGACTTAATCTGTCAATGTGTTCAGTGCTTTAGTGTTTCTTTATTTCTGTTTTCTTTAGATGCTACTGTGAAACACTATTTCACCTTTCATTTCAGTTAGGGCCAGTTTATTTTTAGCCTGACACAAGTAATAACTTCCCTTATTAATGGGAGTATCTCTAGAGATACTCTGTATCTGGCTTCAGTACTGACTTGCTGTAGGGCCTGGAGCAAGTCACTGCAATTTAACCTTGATGTAGTTAGTTGAGGTCATCTGCAGGTGGGAGGTAAAGGGTTGACTTTCCTCAGCTCGCTACAGGGAAGTAAAATCAACCTCTAGGATTTTATATCAAGGTCACTATCTATCTCAATATAAAAAGACACCTTTTATTGCAGTGAAGACATAGCTTAAGTTTGGTCAATAGCCATGAATAGGGTGACCAGACTGAAAAATTGGGACGGGTGTGGGGGGTAATAGGAGCCTATATAAGAAAAAGACCCACAAATCAGAACTGCCCCTATAAAATTTGGACATCTGGTCACCCTAGCCATGAATTGGTTGTAAACCAGTTTTCTGGTTGTGAACCTACCAGGTGGCCAAAAAGAAAGCGCTAAGCTGTATAATAGTACCCTCTTCTGAAGAAACCAGCTGTGCCATTCCTAACCTCGGGGGGAGGTGGGGCAGATTGTGAATTCATGCATATTGGTATAAGTCTGAGTAACTCCACTGAAATCTATGGAGTTATACTAGTGTAAAATCCAAGTGAGATGAGAATCTGGTCCATAGGTCAAAGTTACTTTGGGTTTACACTGGAGTAACTGAGAGCAGAATTGAGTGTAAAGAGTGAAACTTTTTGAGAATTCCATACACAACCATTGATCCCCACTCCATACTCCTATTGGCATCAGAGGGTGTTCAGTGTGTAAAGATGGCTGGGTTGAGTACAGCTAGTAGATCTTAGACACTGGCATAGTACTTTGCTATCCAACCACCAGACTAGGGGCCTGCATCTGCACATCATTATTACTCAGACAAAACTCCTCCTGACTTCAGGGAATTAAACATTAGTCAGTAGAATAAAATCTGAATATATTTTAATTTAAAAATGTTGGCTTAAATAACTCTTCAGAATGTGACACATAAAGGACCTCATTCTGATCTGATACGCCAGGTTTCCATTGATGACCTCAGAGGTGTTACTCCTGATTTACACTGTTGTGAGATCAGAAGCATACCTCTAGAGTGTCTGATGCTCTGTGTTGGTAACACACCTATTAGTGCTAACCTTTAGTGCTACCATTATTTTAAAAGTCAGCAATTATCAACATGATTATTCTGCATTTACTGCATCATGCTGAGTATGTGCATCTTGAATCTTGCTAGTTTTCGCCCCAAGAAGATGAAAGGAAAAAGAGAAGAAGGGAAAGGAACAAAATTGCAGCTGCAAAATGCCGAAACAAAAAGAAGGAGAAAACAGAATGTTTGCAGAAAGTAAGTTACTGACTTTGACTGTTCTCAACCTATTTCCTCTTTCTGTTATTTGAGCAAACAGGACAATGTCTTCAGGCTAAAGGTCAGGACCGGGAGTCAGGAGATGTGGACTCTGTTCCTGTCTCTGCTACAAGACTTCCTGTGTGATCTTGGACAAGTCATTTACCCTCTTTTCCCTAACTGTAAAATGGAGATATTTAGCCACCTCACTTGAGTGGTGGAAAGCTGAATTCACCAATGGGTGAAATTCATCTTTGTGCAGAAGGCTGGCACAAGGCCTTTGCAAAATCCTAGGACACTGGGGTGAATTTTACCCAAATGCCTTTAGATCAAATTTGGTTAACAATGAAAGATATATGAAAAATAACTGAAGAAGGAGAAGAAAACATTGTTGAAATTTTAGTGAATGATAGTGTTATTTATATGGATAATACTAATCTGAAAATGTAAATGGAACACGAGGAATTAAAATTACATTTTACATAATGTACATTATAGATTCTAATAAGCTATGCTTACTCCATGCACCAAAACTTGATTTTTCTATGAAATGGCTCTCCAGTTAGAAATGATCACTGATGTAGTAGCTTAACAAATTGAAGCTGCATCTCATTTGGTTTATAATTAACACTACTGATTGAACTTTTCAGAGAAGTAACTTTTACAAATCACAAGCTTATTTACTATTACTTATTGATACCATAAGCTTATGCCACTGCAAAACAGTAATGATGTCATAAGAGTCCTATAGACAAGAGCCCTATAGACAGGGTAGCACAGAGGACACAAGAATAGGCACAAAGTATCCCTTATGGTGCTAATGTCTGTCTCCATTAGCAAGTTTGTGATTAGTAGCGTTTAGTATTTAGTGCATTAAGAGTATTAAGCAGTCTCTCAAAAGCCCCATATTAGTGACTGTCTCTTCAGAAAAGTGCAGGGAGCCCATTAACATCACTCCTTGTGTTGGTCAGAGGGGCTTATCAAAGAAAAGCAGGGTGTTGCTTCTTATCCTACCCCAAAATGAACGGACTGCCTCCACAGGCTCTAAGTCCCTGCTGGCCTGGGAACAAGGAACCAGGCTAGAATCAAGGATTTAGATCCTGGGGTGCAGTTCGCTGGAACTTCTACTCGGCCGTTGGACTGGCCAAGTAAGTTCATAATGGCTTTTTGTTGTTGTGGTGGTGGCAAATAAGCTTCCTTCTGGCCAAAGCAATGTTGGCAGGTAGCTCTATTGAATTTGGCTTTGTGACCATTGTCCTATTTCTTTAAAGGGCAAAGAGGGTCATTGTCTGAATCTGTTCTCTAGACTATTATATACTGGTGAAATACAGTTGCATAGTTATGACTAATTAAGAAGCAGGTAGTTTCTTTCTAACCCAGCCATCATGCTTTGCTACCATTAAAGAGTGGCAACCATCACAATAACATTATGGTTAACTATGTAAAATACTCACTGTAATACTTATGTCTGTGCTCTGTGACTAGGAATCAGAAAAGTTGGAAACTATCAACGCAGAACTAAAGGCCCAGATTGAAGAGCTAAAGAATGAGAAGCAACATTTGATATACATGCTCAATCTCCACAGGCCAACTTGCATAGTTCGAGCACAGAACGGGAGAACACCCGAGGACGAAAGAAACCTCTTTATTCAACAGATCAAAGAAGGAACATTGCAGGGTTAAGGCAAACCAAGAGTTCTCATAGTGCATCTTTACACCAAAAAAACAGAAACCATCGAGGATTTGACTCAATGTGTATCTGTAGGATCCTATTAGTCTAGAACCGTTAGGCAGGGGAGATTGCTTTGTTAAGCAGGAAGGATCATGTTGGCTTAGCTGTGATTCTTCCTCTCCAAAGATTTGGTCTCGATCAAGTCGAAGAGTCCTCTGCCTCAACTCTAGGTTTTAGTACTTGTCATACTTGCTGTTCCTAGAAGCTACAGACAACAGCGCCGGAAGTTTTAGGTCTCTGTAGTGTACAGTGCCTGCACTCATGATGTTTGTGTTAGAACACTATGACTTCCAATGATGCACATCGTACCGACAGCTGTGCTGGATGGACACTATCTTTCCTTGTTGCTGGTAGGGAAAGCACACTGAGAGTGTTTTTAAAGTTTTGCAATGTTTCCAGAATGATGCTTTCTGGCAGAATGTGTTGCTATGTGATGGGACATACTGTAGTCTAACCTAATGCTGCAAAGACTTTCGTTTCAAACTAAGCATTGTACTTTTTTTTTTTCACAACACTTGTGTGGGTTTTTTTTATGACTCAGCGGCAGATTCTGAGAAGTCTGAGAGATGTGACAAGTGTCAGTTTCTTGCCAAATGTCCATGTAACTAAGTTTGCATTTACTGAACTGGAACCTCACTCACTGTTCTTCAGGAATTGCAATTTTGCCATGAAAAATAGGAAAGCACCTTGGCCTTTGTGCACCCAATGTATAATATTTCATATGGGTGATATTTCAAAGAACTTAATGGAAACAAAATTACACAGTAAAAATAGACTTGAAAAATCTAATGATTCCCTAATGTCTTGGGTTCTGAGCATGCAATCTTTATTCAGGCAAAACTCCCATTTATCATTCATTCTGAGTGAAATTTACCCCGTGCAGAGGGCAGGTGCAAGGGCTATACATCATGTAAGCCCTATTTTGACGCTATAAATGTAATTTAAATAATGCATCCACCTTATGCTGGCCCTCTGCACATGGGTGAATTGCACTTTTTGGGAAGAGGGAACTAACCAGGAAGGGACTTCAATAAGACTTTTGCTTGAGTAAGGATTGCAGGATTGAACCCCAAATTTGTGAATCACAGAAAATAGAAATGGAAAAGACTTAATACATTAGATCACACAGGGGCTGATTCTGCACACCTTTACTCAAATTAGTAATCCTGTTCACACAAGTAGTCCCACACGTAGCTCTTACTCATGTGAGCAATGATTTGAAGTCTCTCACCCTGTCAGGATTATTTCTTATTGCCAGATAATTTATACAGGGGAAAGAATTCTGACTGTAGTAATTTTTCTTTCATATTTGAGTGGTAACTGCAGCCAACCAAAATGCTGTTTAGAATCCAAGAATAGCCTAGAACTTAACCTAAGGGTAGGTCCATACTTACCTCCAGGTCCGGTGGTAAGAAATCGATCCTGGATCGATCCCGCAAGTGCCCGCTGTCGACGCCGGTACTCCTGCTCAGTGAGAGGTGTACGCGGAGTCGACGAGGGAGCCTGCCTGCCGCGTCTGGACCCGCGGTAAGTTTGAACTAAGGTATTTCAACTTCAGCTACGTTATTCACGTAGCTGAAGTTGTGTATCTTAGTTCGAAGTGGGGGGTTAGTGTGGATCAGGCCTTGGTGATGTAGTGAGTAACTATTTTTTACTTTTTTAAAAATCTAACCTTAGATATTTTGAACTATTCGTTGAGCTGCTGGACTAAAGAGCTAGAGTTATGAGTGTTTAAATTCTGATGTTTCTGTGAAATCCTCAGATTGTTTAATCCTATTAAATATTATCATTACAGTTTTCTGTAAAAGAAAATATTATCCTTATTTATCACTAATATTCCTAAGAAGTTGAAATAATAAATATTGCAAACAAGACAAAACTGAAAACACAAGTGTTGTACTGTTTTTTATTTTTACTTTTTGGTGTCTAATATTATATATTTCTAAACTTCAATGCTTCTATTTGGGACACCACTATTTAAAAAGTATAAGTGCCTGATTCTTGCCTCTCATGAGGTGTTCATCATCTTGCAGGATTGGGTTCAGAGATTTCATATCTCAATCAGTGGTGTCTAATTGCTTAATAATGCATTTTAAATGAAATAAACCATAAAAATGGAGCTTACAGTACATAATATTTTACACCAGTTCTGCAGTGTTAAAAATACAATTTCAATCTAAACCAATAGATACCTCAACCATCAGCTTCTTACTTTACAAGCCCCAAATGGGTAAACCAGATATCATACCAGATCCCTTTTTATTTTTATATTCTGCAACAGAACTTCTTAATACACTTTCCTAAGATCTGGATATACTGTAATGTCCTATATCATGTTTCAGATATGTACTTCAAGCACTTGAAAGGTGAATGTATAAAATACTATATATTAGGCCACATTCAGTCCTGGGGACCAAGTCTCTCGTTGCAGATTATATGGAACTCCCAATGACTTCAATGAGAGTTTCTCAGATCCTGTGGTTGGAGAACAGAGTCCCCTCATGCAATTCCACTGGCTTAACTGGAGTTACACAATGGATACATTTGGCCCATTGTTTGGCTGACACAGGAAATACATAGAACGTGTTTCAATAACCTTGTCAAATGAATTTTCATTAGCATTTGACTTCTGTAATATAGAAGCAGTAGATCTAAGCATAATCCAGATACCAAACTCCTTGGCTTTGTCCTTTGTGCAACAAATATCAGCAAAGGCAAAATAAAAAAAAGTTTGTCACTTATGCTGTTATAAGGTATTAATACAGGGACTGGCTTCATTTACTGTTCAACATAATCACAAAATTCGTGTCTCTTCTTTAGGAATTTTGTACAGTTGCTATTAACTGTATTACTGGTGACGCAGGCGTCATGCATTTGCTGCTTGAGTTAAACATAAATGTTATTTACTAGCATGCCAAATGTTAATGTGGCATCACTACTTTTGTCAGAAGGTATTCTGTTTTTATTTCTATCTGTTCAGTCATTGCTGCTTTGCACTGTGAGTATGTGTGTGTGTGTGTGTGTGTGTGTGTGTGTGCATGCACCCGTGTGTATGTGCAAGTATAATTCATAAGTTATGGTACTGAAGTTAATTTGAATATACCCAAGAAAGCAATGTCTAAAAAGGCTAGACATGAGCAATGCATTGCATGGGTTTAGTAAATGTCTACTTTATTCGGGAGAACCTTTAAAACAGCATTAAAAGCAATTTGTTTTCTATTCTCAAGGTTATGTTTTGATACTTTAATAAAAAATAATTAATATACATTTGCTCATGTGTGACTTCATTCTAAGATTCATTCAAAGTCTGGAAACAATTTCTTTTCTTAGAAGAACAAGAAGCTATTTTAAAAAATATGTTTCCAACAATAAGTTTTTGGAAGTTGAAACTGGCATTGTTTACTGAACTCTATACTCCTCTTGATATACACACTGCCCAGGAATGCTAGGCTGCTGGCTTCATACACAGCATAGTAGTTGCATCAGGGGACTCGTAGCCAGGACTTTTATGCTGTGAGATGTTGGGCAAGTCACTTTAGCTCTCCATGCCTCGGTTTACTCATCTGCCAAATGGGGCTAATACATATGTTAGAGGGCTGCTATAGAGCTTCATATTTATAGATTGCTTTAGGATGCTAAGATGGAATGTGCTATATAAGTGCAAACTGTTAAAAATTACGGGTTGGGGATCTGGGGATTTTGTTATTGGTTGTTTATTTGGGAAAACGTTAAGGATTATAGCTAAAATATGCAATCTTGTATATTCAGAACCGAGCACCTACATCCTTACTAAAGTTCCTAAATAAAAGTGTCCTGGTACTTACAGGTAGGTGCTGACCAAAAATTTTAGCCTGAATACTTTGCAAATAAGAAAAACCCTCAACACAGTGGAAATTCCAGTAGATTGGAGTTATTTAAATATCAGTAGCCTAATAGATCCATTGCATCATTACACAACCTAGCTGGCCAACTGAAACCAGTTTAAAATTTCAACTGGACTTTCTACTAGGAAAGACAGTGGATAGATAGGTGGAATTTGGGACTACCAACTTCAACAGCATCTTTTTTCTTTATAAATGGAACTTCCCTATCAATATATCCCTTTAAAAGACTTGCACCAGCCAACATGCATATATTCAAGCTCTCACCCATTTTCTTCTATCTGCTCTTATTTGGATGGCAGTCATGCTTTAGCTAGTGTGGTTTTGACTTCTTGTCTCATTTTATCTTTGCTAAATTTGTATTGTAAGCCACCTGCTTGCCTTCAACACAAACTATTAATCACAGGTTTGTTTTAAAAAACCTCATCAACAGGCTAGGCATTGCTGATGTTAATTGTATTTATGTTATATAATATTTATTTTAAAACATATGATCTGAAAAAATCTAATTGTGTACATCTCTAGTGTATGTAACATTCTTATCACTATTACTCTTGTTCTCCTTCCCCTATTCCCTCTGATAGTTTGTTATACGTGCTTGTTGCATTTTGTCTTAAATTAGGGCCTGATCTTGCAATTATATCCATGCAGACCCATGCAGATCACATTGCAGAATGGGGGCTTTCCAAAAAAATGTTTGATGGGGCTCACCATGACTGAGACCCACTAATAAGTGTATTTTGTTCTGGGTCTTTTCTATCCTCATAACCTATTTTTACACATTTTGCCCAAGAAAGCAAGTTCAACAACACTGGGATAAATAATCAGTGAGTCAATTCAATTAATTAAAGGGTAGACACTCCCACAAAGTGAATAAAAATAACCATTAATTCCATGTTTTAGAACAGATTAAGGGGCTGTTTTAGACTCTAAGAGTATAGGTTGGCATTTTATAAGTTTGTAGCTTTACCTATTAAAATGTTAACAAGATCACAGACAACAGATGTTCTGGTCTTGATGTTTTTGTAGAAGAAATCTTATAGGTGGTTACAAAACTCATAGAAAGAAATCACCCACAAATGTAATTATAGGAGGGAAAACACAATCCAAATTATGTTAAGATGAACAAAAGCAAAAAACAGAATAACTAGTTATGGTTATACTATGCTTTTTAAATGTTACTGATGGAGGTCACCTAGTGGTGGTTAGCAGTAACTTCACATGCCAGCTTCAAATCTTGTGAAATTGTTAAAAGGTGCACAGTTAGGCACCTCTCTGTCCTTTCTTACCCCTTTCCTCTCCCTGAATCCTGTAAATATTTATGTATGTGTTTAACTTTATTACTGGGAGTAGTCCCAAAATCAAAGTAATTACTTGTGGAAGTAAAGTTAAGCTAATGTACAAGTGTTTGCAGGATTGGGCCCTGAGATTGTAGTTGACAATGTGGACTGAGACTTGCTGCTACATTTATCTTATTTTATGCAGCAGGTGGCCAGAGCTTGCAGCTGACGTTCACTAATACTATCAAACACAGTTCAGTAGAAAGGACCATATTACTAGCATTGGCCTCAATCGTGCAAATGCCTGACTTCAATGGGACTATTTCTATGGGTAAACTTACTCACATGTGGATGAGTGCAACTCCCACTGGGACCGTGCTCTCCCTGGCTTGGGTAAACAGAGCTCTCCCATTGCACCCACTCCTCCTTTGCTGGTGTAGTGAGAGCTCTTCATCCTGTTTAAATCTACTTTAACCATCAGAACTGAGGCACAGAGAGATTAAGTGACTTACTCCAGGTCACAAAGAAATCCAGAAAGCCAGTGGTGGATTTAGTAGCAGAACCCAGAAGTCCTAACTCCCAGTCCCAGTATTGCCAACTCTTGTGATTTTATCACGAGTGTTCTTCTTAAAGCCCCAGCTCCTACAGGTATGCAATTAGATGAGCATCTCAGTGTTCATGGTTGCAGAGAAAAGCTTGACAATGTGACCGGAGTTACCATAAAGACTCAGAAATGACAAGACAAATAAAATGAACCCAAAATATATTATATTTTTAAAATTTCATTATTTGTAAGCAAATCTCATGATTTTTGGGCCTTACTCATGATTTTAGAGTGCTTGGGGTTGTCCATGCTGCATTCTCTGCTCTAACAAGCAGGCACTCTATGCTCTTTCTTGCATGACACATCCTAATGATGATGCTGTTAGAAAAATCAATTATCTGTGGAGATTCTGAAAGGGTCTAAAGACTAGACTTCACAGCTAATAGTGAAGGGGGGGAAAGTTGGGTATTGTAAAAAATTTACTTGTTTTTAAAGTAACATTCAAACATCATGCTGCTCTCTGCACCCAATCAACAGCGGTGAGCAAAGCCATTTCACTGTACATTTATCTTAGTAGTCATTTTTATCTTATTTCTCAGGGCAGCATTCAATTGCATTCTTGAGCCTCCTCTCCCTTTGTGCACTGACCTGCCACTTCACTTCTCTTTAGAGATTGTTACTTGAATGAACATAATGTTTCAGTGTCTGCTTATAAGGTGATGGCATGACCATCCCATCATGTACAGAAGCCATTCTTCAGGAAGCTTAAACAACATTAAGGTTGTATAATTAAGCATTCAAAAGTCAGGAAATGTGAATGTTAAAGTTGCAAGCAGAAGCTTAACCTTGCCCCCACTCTGTATATGCCAAACAATAGTTTTCAGTTATATGATCACTTATTATTTCTCAAATAATACAATAATTACACTAGCTCAGTGGTTTGAGTA